TCAGAACTCATGGTGGTTAGGATCAGAGAAGATGAATTTTTAAATGTAAAAAATAATAAATGTGTTTGCGAGAAAGTGTAGGGATGGGAAGTGGGTTGAGGCAAGCATAATCATTTTAGGGATCTGAACAGACTAGGGTTAAAAGAAGCTGAGAAAAGAACTTCAGAGCAAAGCTCTGTCCAGACTGGAAGTTCCACCCAACCAAGAAAAATATTGCAAAGTCCTTTTGCAAGGCAATGTCCCAGGCTCACATTCTTAATTTAATTGATTATAGTATGTCACATCATGTTAATTTTACATTTATTTGTCTATTATATTCACTTGTATTCATTATAAATATAATTTTTAAATTACTTTTTCAGTTGGATGGCATATAGCTTCAAGCAGATTTTCAAGCAAGTTTTGTGGGTGACCTTCTCTGAGCTCCTGCGTATTTAAGTATGACATTTCTGTTGCCTTCATTCATAAAAAATTCATCACCTGACCCTATATAATAAAGCGGGGTCACAGACTTTTGCTCTCAAATATCAGTGGGTGTTATTCCATGGGCTTCCACAGAGAAGTGTAAGATTATTCTGATGTTAGATTGTAAAAGAGAAAAAAACAAAACTGCATAAGTTTTCATTGTTTTGCTTTGTTTTTCAAGCTTTCGCACTAATTGTTCTTTCCAAAGACCACTTAAAATTATTTGGTAGTTTACTGCTTTGTGCCCTGAATATCTAACACTTTTCTCACCATTTAAACATTTTTTCACCTTTTCTAGCATTTGAGAGAAGCATACCATGTTTGCCTTCCACATTACTGAGATGATTTCTCAGTGTCAGATCTTCTCTGCGGGCTCTGTGGATTTAATTTGGCTGCTGCAATTTAAAATTTCATCATTCCCTACATTATCCTTTCCCTCTCAGCATGCTCCCTAAAGGGTGATGGTTCGTTTTTTATGGCTTTCTCATCCTGTTCATAACAACCACACCTTCTTATAGCATACTCTACTGAGATGACTAGTCAATTTCCCCCTTTTTTTTTCTTCTGTATTTCCCTTTTGAGTGCAGCATGATTTTTTTCTCCTTTTCTTTATAAAAATTACAAGATTCATTATTAAAAATTTTAAGCTCATTCTAACAATGGGAGATTTACACAGCAAAAAAGTTGTGGAGAAACCAAAATGTTTATGGAATAGGCTTGTCATCACCATGCCTTGAGAATCTTTAGAATCTATCAGGTGTTTATAGTTTGTTTAGTTTCATAGGATTGAAACGGGATTTTCTTTTTTGAGCAAGTTCCAGTGTACACTGGCACTCCCTAGTTCTGCCCCTTGAAGGAACTTTATAATTTGGAAGCATTGTTCCTCTGTCTCCACCAAAACTGCTCACTATCCCCTTTTATGTGCTCGCAATTTTTGTTTTTGCTACAAATGCATAGCAAGAAAGAGATACGGAGAAAGGCAAGAGAACAGAATGGATAGATGACACTTTGGTGTGTTAAAAGTAATAATTATAGAGGCTATGCATACACAAATTCTTTGACTTAGTGGCTGCTTTCTCCTTATTTTCTATTTATCATACCCCCCCCCCTGGAATTTATTATCAGTGACTGGACAGACAGAGAGATATGAATGGGGGTGGGGTGCAGGGAGGAGTTAGGGAGAGCACTGGGGAGGCCTCAGAACCAGTAGAAGGTCAGCTGCTCAGCCTTTATGGGGTTTCCAAACTGATGACAAAAGACAGATTGGGGCAGCAGTAGGGGTCTGGCTTTTGGCTTTCTTTCTCACTAGCTTGCTGTAATTTTAGGTGAAATGGTATTAGTGGTCCATCAATTATGTTCTATATAGTATTGTGTTAATCATAGATTCCAGTGTTTTGTGAAAACTCATTATTTTTCATTCATGTCTTTATAGATATCTTAGTGGGAATTTAGGACTGGCTAAGTTAGATGCAGTTTCAAGTCCATTTTATAGGGTAAGGCTTAGCCCTGCCTTCTTTAACTCTGAGAGTCTTGTTACAGATGAGTAGTTCCTGTGTGGTTCTCAGCAGAAATAACGGTGCTGGGTTCTGCCTGACACCTCTAACTCATCTTGTCTATGGTGAGTCCTTCCTCATTCTACAACCCCTGTGAGGAACAATTATTCTCTCCATCCTCTATCAAATGTGACCTTTACATGAGTCTAGTTGGAGCGGCTCTTAGTGTTCAACAGTCTGATTCTTTTATGACTTCGAAGATCCAAACTCGTTCTTCTTTAATGCATAATCTTGATTATTCTTCCTGTAATTTGCTTTGCATACCACCAACCAATCTTAGTACTATCTCTAGAAGAGTAAAATTAAATAATTTGGCTTATATCAATTCATTCTTGCAACTTGCTCCTATAAATAGTTTGCTTAACTTCTGTACATCTTACAGCTTCTCTTGGCCTCAGTCAATAGCTGTTGCTTGATTTCTGTGGCTGACTACCTTCACTTTGCTACTCTCAAAAATCACCTTCTTATCCCTCATTCGATCTTTATTTCCCTAGATCCAAAAAGTTTTCTTATAATCCAGGTTCCTGTCTGACTTTCCCTAAGATTCAGATTCTGTTTTCTTTTTCTTTTCTACTCACTTGTGCAGCCATTCCTACCTACCCTTGTAAATACAATTATGTATCACTTAATGACAAGGATGCATTCTGAGAAATGTGTCAATAGGTGATTTGGCCATTGTGTGAACATTATACAGTGCACTTACACAAACCTATATGGAATAGTTGCTACACACCTAAGTTATGCGGTCTAGCCCATTGTTCCTAGGCTACAAACCTGTATAGCATGTTATTGTTCAAAACAACCGCAAGATTAAATCAAGCGCCCTAACTGATTTGGCTCAGTGGCTAGAGCATTGGCCTGAAGACTGAAGGGTACCAGGTTCGATTCCAGTCAAGGGCATGTACCTTGGTTGCGGGCATATCCCCAGTGGGGGGTGTGCAGGAGGCAGCTGATCGATGTTTCTCTCTCATCGATGTTTCTAACTCTCTATCCCTCTCCCTTCCTCTCTGTAAAAAATCAATAAAATACATATATTAAAAAAGATTAAATCAAGCACAAGAGAATATGATGCAACCAAGAAACACAGAAAAGCAATATATGAGATTGCTTTCAGTATAACATGGCATATTGTTTTACAGAATTTTAAAAAATAAGTAGAAAGAGTAGACTCTCAAACAATAAAAGTATTTGTATTAATAATAGAGGAATATGCAAATTGTCCAGGACTCCATCACAGTAATGACCAAACAGCAGGAACACCAGGTTGCATGGAGCTACAAGGCCAGCAGGTGTGTTAGTGAGAGATGACCAATTGATTGAACAGCAAGCTGTATGGGATGACCAGGTTAGCAGGGGAGCAGTTGGGGTTGACCAGGCTGAATGGGGAGACAGTGGGGGTAACCATACTGGCAGGGAGGCAGTTGGGGGTGACCAGGCCTGCAGGAAGGGGGGAAGTTGGGGGTGACCAGGTCAGCACGGGGGAAGTTATGGGCGATCAGGCCAGCAGGCAAAAATGGTTATAGGTGACCAGGACAGCGGGGTTGGGGGGGGGGGGATATGAGACAGTTAGGAGCAATAAGACAGGTAGGCAGGTGAGCAGTTAGGAGCCATCGGTTCTGGATTGTGAGAGGGATGTCTGACTGCTGGTTTGGGACATCCCCTGAGGGATCCCAGATTGGAGAGGGTACAGGCTGAGATGAGGGGAGCCCCATGCACAAAAATTTTTCACTGGGCTTCTAGTGGTATAATAAATACATAAATCAGTAGCCTTGTAATTTATTACATTATCAAGTCTTATGGACTGCAATGTTGTACTTTCCTATGACTGGCAAAGCAGTGTGCTTGTTTATATCAGTGTCATCACAAACACACAAGTAATGCCTTGTGTGGTACGATGTTCTGACTGCTGTGACATCACTAAGCAGGCAATAGGAATTTTTCAGCTCCATTATAATCTTATGGGTCCATAGTTGTATATGCAGCCTATCATTGACTGAAATGTTATGAGGCTCATAATGATACTGTCAACATTGTCAGGTTTAACCAGCCTTGTCATAGTGTGCTCACTGGTTTATGCCAGTCAATATGGCATCCCTGGAAACTGTAGAGTCTACCAATACTCTTAAGTAACTTGATGTACTGTGTGCAATATGCATAAATCCAAATTTTGAACATTTCACAATCTGCTGTGTATTTCAGCAATAAAAAATGTTAACTATTAAAAATATTTGCTAATTTTCTGAGATTTGGTGCCTTAGCAGTGTTTAGTATAATACATTATTCAGCATTTTTAAAGTCACTAGAGGCATATAAGGTAGGAAACAGATTAGTCATGGCTCAGAGAAATTCTCATCAATTACCCATTCTCACATCCTTTTGTTTCATTACAGCAATGGATTTAATTTTGTTGTACAACAAGACTGTCCATTCACATAGCATACTTTATCAATCATCTTGAGTTTTTAACCAACAAATATCTGAGAGTCTTGTTATAGATGAGTAGTTTAAAGAAAATCAAGAAGGAAGTTTTTACAGAAGAGTAACCAAAAATAGATGAGATAAAGACACAGGGATTATTAGCAAGGTCAAAGCTCGGGTTATTGGCTGGATTTCAAGCTATTTAATAGAAATATAATGCACACCACAAAGGAGAGTCACATATGTTATTAAAATTTTTCTAGTAGTCATATACAAAAAATAAAATACAGCAAGTGAAATTAATAATATTTTTATTTAATCCCAATTATGAAAGCAGTCTTTGTTTGTTTGGGTACTAGAAACTCAAAATTTGCTGTGTATTTTACATTTATATAAGATTTCACTTGGACTAGTTACGTTTAAGGGATTAATAGTCACACAAGGCTTATGCCTGCCACACTGAACTGGTCTAGAATTTCATGTTATCATGATCCTTTAAGAAAAACTATTTTATAGAAAAAATGATTATTAATGCAAGAGACAATCGTAATTATTTTCTCTTACCTACACAAATCTTCTTTTATGTGAAGAGAGATCAATTCCTTAGGAATATGAAAAGAAAGTATGCTCTCTGACATCTGCTCCCGGATTCGCATCCACTTATTGTCAGATGTGGGAAATCTATATAATTTACACACCGGGTTCTTTAACACTGAGTAGAAGAAAGAAACAAAGGCTTGAGGGTTAAATTATAAAGATATGCACACTATATGAAGATGAATTAACAAATCATTAATCAAAGTATTTTCTAATTATTTATTCAATCTGAATTTGTTTTTAAATAAATCATAATCCATTAGTGTTTTTGAATTTCTAATAATTTTGTTCTTTCATCCATCTTATTTTTTCAGTAGCTTCTTGAACATATAGTCTTTATCAAATTAAAAAATAACACATCAAATGCTAATTCATAAATATGACAACTGTGATCTCCAATTTACCACTTATTACTTTATTTTTCTTCTAAAGATTTCCTTAACACATATGTATTTATAGATATAGATGAAAATACACGTATTTATACATAATACACACTTTGAAAAAATATATTTCTGAATTTCTTCTGATCACTCTTAGTCAACTTTACCTATTTATATAGTACCATGGTCAGCAAACTGCGGCTTGCAAGCCACAGACAGCTCTTTGGCCCCTTGAGTGTGGCTCTTCCACAAAATACCATGACCTAAGCGAGTCTATTTTGAAGAAATGGCGTTAGAAGAAGTTTAAGTTTTAAAAAATTGCCTCTCAAAAGAAATATCAATCATTGTACTGTTGATATTTGGCTCTGTTGACTAATGAGTTTGCCAACCACTGAAGTAGATGACAAGTATATTATAATATAGTATTCAGCATAGTAAGTTTTATAGTAAGTTCCCCCCCCCGCCCCCGGTGGGGTGTTAAATGACCCTATTCCTAAAAACTATTGATTTCTTAAATGTCAGAAAATTTATTCCATGGTTTATGATCTATTAAAATTCAAATATCATACCTAGTTTGGTGCCAATTAGTCAATAACACACTTTCCTGGAATTGTATATTATCAGGATCAAGACAGGGAGATTATGAACAAACTGTATATTCAAAGTAGTGGGCAGTGATTAGGGGAGAAGTAACAAGATCATGCCATCAATGGCTTTAAAGATTTAAAGAAAAGGTGTAGGACCAAATATAAAAATAATAATTGATCAAACATAATAATAGTTGCCAGCACTTCACCCACATTCCTAAGCCATGCATTTCAGGGTAGAATTTTATTTCTCTTCCCTCTGGCAACCACCACACTGCTGTTTGGCCAATACTTATTCCTTGTATTTTTTTTTTTTTCATAATAGTCATGCTAATAAGTGTGAGGTGATATCTTTTTGTGATTTTGATTTATATTTACCTGATGTTTAGTGATATTTAGAATGTTTCTATCCACCTGTTGGCATGATTTATTTATAAAACTATTTTCAGATAATCTACCCAGTTTTTAATTAGATTGTTTGTTTCTTTTGCTATTGATTTGTATGAGTTCTTTATATATAATATTTTGGATAGTAATCCTTACCAGATATATTTTATTTTATCTGAAATATTAAAACTTACAGCAAGACACTAAAAAAACACTATTTTATTTCATTCATTTTTAATGTGACAATGTTTCAAAGATATAAGAATTTTACTACAACATCTATTGTCATATCTCTAGAGTTGGAGAAGGAAAAAAATGTATTGAATTCAATATAGTGTCAGTCAGGTTAAAACACTCCTGGTATCTCATGAATTCTAATACAGTTAATATGATCAAGAATATAAATGCATCCTTTTATAATAAGACAAAAACTCAATCTCAAAATATCCAATTTTTTTCTTACTAACCTAAGTAAGTATTCAGCTATTTGGTTTATCTATACTCAGTATATGTGCAGCTTTTTAATCTTTATTGTTAGGAGTATACAGAATCATGGCATCCTTTAAACCATGATTAAAATCCTTGCATTTTTCTTGCCTTTTATCCTATCTAATAAAGAGGAAATATGCTAATTAACCATCACACCCTCACAAAGATGGTGGCACCCACAGCCAATAAGGAGGGAATATGCTAATTGATTGCCACACCTTCAAAAATGGCAGCACTCACATCCACAAGTTGGTGACTCCCAGTCCCATCAGCCCCACTGGGGCAACAGGCATGCTGCCCTAGGCGGGTCTGGCCACTCTGTGCACCTGCCTCTTGAGTCCCCCAGTCCCTCAGCCCCCTAGCTGGCCTGAGGTGCAGGCAAGCCTCAGATGGTGGCTTCCCAGCTGCCCAGGGCCGCCTGAGGCTCAGTAACCAGGGCTGGCTGAGACCTGCACTGTGGGCAATGGCAATAGCAGAGGTGTGATGGGAGCGTTGCCTTCCCTTGATCGCTGGGCTGCCTCTGTCCCTGAGGGCTCTGGACTGTGACAAGGGGCAGGCTGACCTGAGGGATGCCCCCCTCCAGTGCATGACTTTTCATGCACCGGGCCTCTAGTAAAATTATAACCATATTTAGAAAATTTATATTTTATATTAATTCATAAATGAAACATTCTTCATTTCCTGTTATCACAAAGCTAGTCTTTCAACTTTTGATTTTATTGTTTTTGTTTTAATGCTCTTCATTGCATTCTAAATATAAACCATTGTTGAAATGACTTCAGCAGAAATCAAGGGCAGTTTGATTAATGAGCTCCAGAGCTGTCCTCTGACCATCCGGTGCATGACATGCAAGGATCCTAGGGGACCTGCTGTTTATAAGGGAAACACATGGGGCAAATAATTTAAAATATCAGACAACCTGATGATCCAAAAAAATTCCAAGTACTGTCTCCTGTCTAACTTTTATGGTATGAATTTTTGAAACTCAGAGATCTCCAAATACTAGTATTAAATTTTATATATTCGTCATGATCTCAACGTAGATATAGTATAGATTCCTTATCAAATACGTACTATATAAAGCAAAAACACACCTACTCTGTATTCTGAAGTAGCATAAAATGGTGCATGACTTAAAAAATAATAATAATGGCCTGACTTAACTTCCATGAAAATTTGTTTCACTGGTTACAAAAATGACCAGATAAGATATTCTCAACTCAAATTTCTTATTGGGTGGATAGTGGGGAGATTTTGACATCATCACATAAAAGAAAGGCATAGTATTAATGCATTAAATATTGAACAATGAGCCATAAGTGATGAATGTTTTTGTCATTTTTTTAAATGCTTCTTCCCTATTGCAGAGATAAAATTCTGACAGTTCTGCACATACACTCTGGCTGTGTACTAGTAAATGAGTCTGTCATGTTCAGCTCTGGCTTTCCACAGATGCCATGACTTATCTCCAGAGCTTCCCAGACAAGAAAAAAGCTAAAGGAGTTCATGACCACCAAATCAGTATTACATGAAATGTTAAAAGGTCTTCTTGAAGAAGAAGAAAAAAAAAGATAAAAATATGAACAATTAAATGGCAATAAAATACATATTTGTTGACAACTGAATCTAGAAAACAAAATAAACAAGCAGAACAGAAATAGATTCATAGATACAGAGAACATTTTGATGGTTACCAGATGGGAATGGGCTTGGGGGATGGGTGAAAAAGATAAAGGGATTAAGAGGTACAAATTGGTTGTTACAGAATAGTCTTGGGCATGTGAAGTATAGCATAGAGAATATAATCAATAATATTCTAATAACTATGTATGATGTCAGATGGGTATAAGGTTTATCTGGATGATCACTTAGTTATGTAATATCTAATCACTTGGGTATACACCTAAAACTAATTTAATATGCTAAGGTAATTGAAAAATAATAAAATGATTTAAAAGAGATATGTTTCTGACCATAAAATAAGCTCAACTCAGCAATAATATCTATATAACATCTATTATATTATAAGTTCTTCTTAAAGGCAGCCCTATGTATATCTGCTGCTTTTCCCAAAACAATTACTAAAAATATCATGTGACATATTCTACCAAGAGAAGAGTGGTGGAGACATTCTGGACCATACCTTGGTCTTGTATTGACTTAATAAAGGTGAAGTTCTAAGCTGGTCCAGATAGAGATACATTCCCCTTCAGGCCTACCCCATAAGGTGAACAAGCATAGGGATAGAAAGTAAATGACATATTTTCCCAACAAATTGAAGTACAACTCAAATTTCTGTATTGTCTCTTCCAGACACTGTAACAGGGTGTATTTAATAAGATAATGCGCCACCTGTTTTTTTCATGGGATTCACAAATTGTGAAAGCCCAGCTGCTCCAATTCTGAATTTTCAAAGTAAAGATGTCAAGAAAATGGTCAAGCTACCAAACTGACAACATACACAAAAAATATGGCTGCTCAAGCAACCCGCAGAAAAAAAGATAATCCAGAGAGCTATTACAGGTGTGATTTTCTCTTTTTTGTGTCTCTGTTAGCGCCGTCAGTGGATTGGACAAAACAATTTTAGAAATCTGGATTCTGGGTCAAGGGAATCATCAAAAAGTCTCATTCTATCAGGTTGTCTTTAACATATTTCTCCAGAGGAAGCTCATCTGTGATTATCTTCATGTAATTTCTTGCTTTCAGGAGGTGGTTGGAATCATGTATTTAAATTGAATCTAACCTTATTGGCTTTAAGCCTTACAAAATCATTATTTTAATGTAGTACAGGTTCTTGTAGAGAATTTATTCATTCTGTAGCTTTTAATTATGCACTTGTTTAATAGTTCAATTATTCAGCTGAATGTACATGCATTGCCTATTCTCCAAACGCTACCTTCTACTTACTACAGATAAATCTGAATAATCCAATTAGACATTGACACTGTATGTATTCTTGAAAATATCTTAGATTTATATATCTTAAATGTAGGTTGGTTCTGTTTAAGAGTGGGCAAGAATTAAAAAACCTAACAGAAATCACTAAAACACATAAAACACTAATCATGGCTAATAGGGGGAAAAAGGTGGGGGGGGAAGAATATAACAGGAGCTCTGAAAACACATAAAAGAAATATATCTTTAAGAATACTTGCCGAGACCAGTTTGGCTCAATGGATAGAGCATCGGCTTGGGGACTGAAGGATCCTGGGTTCGATTCCAGTCAAGGGCATGTACCTTGGTTGCGGGCATATCCCCAGTAGGGGGTG